CCCCCTGCTGCTGCTTCTGGGGCTGGCCGGAGCCACCACGCCGGGGCCGGATGGATCCACGCTGGGGTTGACTGAATCCGTCCCGCCGTCCCCGACGGGGCTCTGGGCCGTGAGCTACGAGGACGCCGTCTCGGCGGCCGTGGAGCGGCTCAACGCGAGGGCCGTCAGTCCCTACGTCCTGCGGCTGCGGGAGGCCCAGCCCCGGCCCGGCTGGGTGAGTGCTGAGCTCCTCCATCCCGGGAGATGCGCCCGGCCCCGGCGGCGCAGGATCCGGCCCTTCTCGGGGCCGAATCTGGCCCGTTTTTGGGGCTGGGTCTGACCCCCTGTGGGGATGGAGCCCCACCCCAAGTTGGGGCTGAATCTGACCCGTCTCCAGCTGGGTGTTGGGGACAGGGGTGCCGGGGGTCCCTGACGGCTCCTGTCCCCTCTCCCAGCCCGGGGACCTGCAGCACCCGCAGGAGCTGAGCTTCATCGTCGAGGAGACCCGGTGCCGGGCCCCGGGGATGGCCACCGCCGCCTGCAGGAGCCGCTGGCTCGGGGTGAGGCTTCGTCCCGCGGGGCCGCCCGCTGCCGTCCCCAACGGGGAGCTGAGGAGCAGCTGATGGGGAAACTGAGGCACAGGGGGGTGTGTGTGTGTGCACACGTGTGTGTGTGTTTCGGGGCTCCTCTCGGCCTCGTCTTCCCCGTGTCCCCCTCCGCTTCCCCGCAGGTGGTGATTTGGTGCCAGGGCTCCGTCTTCCTCGAGCAGCAGCAGCCCACGGTTGAGCTCTCCTGCGAGAAGGTGCCCACCCCGTCCCCGCCGTTTCCCCTCGCTTCCCCACCCACTCTCCTCCCCGGCTGCCGTGGGGCGCGTCCCGAGGGGGGGTGTGTGTGGTGTGTCGCCTCGACCACCCCCCATCTCCCCGAAGTTTGACGCCGCTGCTTCTCCTCCCAGCTCGGCCGTACCCAGACATCCAGGCTCATGCGCCTTTTTGCCAGGCTCAGGGAGCATTTCGGGGGCTTCTTCCAGTGCGGCAAGATCTGGATCCGCGACAAACTTTCTCCTCCCAGCTCGGCCGTACCCAGACATCCAGGCTCATGCGCCTTTTTGCCAGGCTCAGGGAGCATTTCGGGGGCTTCTTCCAGTGCGGCAAGATCTGGATCCGCGACAAACTCAACCTCAAATATCCCAAAGCCTGAGCGGGCGACGCCGTGTCCCCCTGGCCCTGTGCCC